TCTTCCCACCTTACATTGTAATGCAAATTGCCTGCCCCAGGGTAGGGGAAGTACTCACACCTATGGGTAATCCCAGCAGTACTAAGACCCATAATCCCAGCCTTGAATCACACATAATCCCAGGGGATCATGAGTTAACACAAACTCTAGAAGTCCTCACCCCATGACTGCATGAGGCTTTGGGGGGACAACTAGACATAAACCATAACAGATAGTATGAAAGATACAGGAAAATGAGAAGAAAATGTTCAAAGGAAACTTCATCATAGTGGGGATTGAGACTAAATTTATACCACTGAGCTGTATCCTCAGCACTTTTTAAATTTTATTTTTGAGATACAGTCTCACTAAACTGCCCAGGCTGGCCCCCAACTCCTTATCCTCCAGCCTCAGCCTCCCAAGTATCTGAGATTACATTCATGTCCATAGTCTGGCCACAAAGCATCTGAAATTCTTCAATCATAAAGATAAAACCATGAAAAAGAATGAATAGCCACACTGGATTTTGTGGGTTATGAGATACAGTAATGCTTTTTGTTGTGGTTGAGCCATAAGTTGTTGGGAAGAAGAAATATGTGGATAGAAACACCTTTATATACATTGACAGATTATATTCCAGATCATTAGGTCAAGCTCAAGATGAAACACCCAAGCAAGCCCAAGCTCTTGATTCTTTCATGAAGGTTAAAAACAGTAAACAGACAAATGCCACTGAACCAGTTTCTAGTATGCACAGAAGTCACTCCTCTCGGGAGCTAAAGTCTTGGGTAGGCCTGGTGTTTCACAGCTATAATCCCAGGACTCGAGATTACATCGAAATCTTTTCTTTTTTAATTTTTTATTTATTTGGTACAGGGACTTGCTACACACTTCAGACTCGTAGGGATCCTCCTGTCTGAGCCTCCCCAGTGTTGGAATGACAAGGGTACACCACTATGCTTGGTTTCAGGGCTGGCACAGCACAGCACATAGTACTTGGGATCAAACTCAGGTCCTTGCACTTGCCAGACAGGTGCTTAGACCACTGAGCTATCTCCCCAGCCCTACACTGAAAGCCTTAAAACTCTAAGGTAGTCTAAAGTAGATAGCTGTATCATTAATTTTTTTTTCCCTTTGGTGATACCAGGACTTGAAACAAGGGCCCTCAAATTGAGTTACTCCCCAGGCTGTTTCTATGCAATGATGCCAAAAAAGAAAGAAAGAAAGAAAGAAAGAAAGAAAGAAAGAAAGAAAGAAAGAAAGAAAATGTTTATAATAAAATGGGAGGATAGACCACTCTCCTGGAAAGCTCACTGCATTTTATTGCCATGGCTGATGGCACTACGCGAGTGGGAGTGACAGGACAAATGCCTAATTTGAACTTAGCTTCCTGGACAGGGTGACTTCTAAGGAAAAACCTGAGGCAGTAAATGAGGGGTAGAAGGGCAAAGACTATTTGAACCTGAGAAAACAAGATGTTCAGAGTTAGAGAACACAGAGATGATAGGCCTTTTCAAGGGCGGGAATGTCTTTCAGAACAGTTAGAAAATATATAGGTGCAAAGGGGTTACTAAGTAAGATGAGGTCAGATCAAAAAAAGACTTTCAGAGCTAAATGAAGGAGCTGAGATTTCATCCTAAGGCAAAGAAGTTCCTGAAAGTTTACGTTTAACATTTTAAACGTAAAATGTTATAAACTTCAAATCATTAAAAAATCATTTTGGTTTGTGGGTGGAGAACGAGTTGGAAAGAAGCAAGAGTTGAAGCTGCAGGAGACCACACAGAAGCACTGCAGTGAGGGCCCCAGCTGCCCTGGGGCAGCAGCGAGAGAGGGAGAGACTGGGTAACTGCCCACAGGACTCAGCTGAAAACGTCACCTCTCACTGGGTCTCCCAGGACTTGGTAAGACAGAGGCAAGTGTCTCCTGGCAAAAAGCTGCGTAGAGGCAGAGGCAAGAAGGGTGCGGTGACACACGCTGTAATCCTGGCACTGTGGAAGGCTCAGGCAGGGTGGTACATTCAAGTCCAGCCTATACAGCTCAGTAAGACCCTGTCTGAAAAATTAAAAAACATGGGCTGCGGATGTACTTACTGTGAATGCCTTTGGTTCAATCCCCAGTGCTGGGGAAAAAAAGTTCCCCAGTGTGTTTGAGAACAGTGTACAGCTGGAAATAAGGGTGAGCGGCTGAGGCAGGGCTGAAAGCACAGAAATTTATTATTGCAGAAGAGGGTTCAAATCCTATCACTCTTAAAGGAAGTAATAGTGTGAGAAAGGAAAGTATACTGAAGAGGTGTATGTGTGTTTTGAAGCAGAATCTATGTAGTTCAGGCTGGCCTTGAACTCATTACATAGCCCTGCTGGCCTTGAACTTGTGGCAGCTCCCCTGCCTCGGCCTGAGAGTGCTACAACGACAGACAGGCGCCACCATGCCCAGCTGTAGTGAAGAGATCAGTAGAAAATCTAGGCACGGTAATCATGCTTGTGAGGCTGAGGGGAATACTGCAGAGACGATTTGGAAGAACTGTCAGATGTAGAGGCCCAAGCGGCGTGTGGGAGGCAGGAGCCAGGAGTGTCAAGGATGACTTCAGAGCACGGGTTTCAAATATACTAATGTTGGAGATTTCTGTGTGGGCACTAACCAGATGGCTATGGTTTGATGGTGTCTTGAAATTGGACTATCCGATTTGGTCTTTTTCTTTTTTTGTAGAATT